AACCTGATTGTCGCGAGAGACATTTGTACACTTTGCCTAAAATCCATAAGAATCCAACCAAGGAGTGGTTTATCTGGAATAAAATCCCTAAAGGCCGCCCGATTATATCTGACTGTGGTAGTGAGTCATATGCAGTGTCAGAATACATTGATCATTTCTTACTACCTCTAGCATGCCAACATCGCGCCTACCTTAAAGACACAACCGATTTTGTCAATAAGATAAAAAAATCTTCGAGTTCCCTCTAATGCTATTTTAATTTCTATCGACGTTTCTTCTATGTATACCAATATCGATAACACTACTGGTTTAACGGCAGTTCGTAAAGCTTTTAATAGAAACCCAGATCCAAACAGACCCGACGATGCAATTCTACAGCTTTTAGAGATTTGTCTTAGTCGAAACGATTTCACATTTAATGGTAAAACATATTTACAAACTTCAGGGACAGCAATGGGCAAACGATTCACCCCTTCGTACGCAAACCTTTTCATGGCAGAGTGGGAACGTGAGGTGTTGCCCCTCTGTCCATTTGATCCACTTTTTTACGGACGCTTTTTGCATGACATTTTTATGGTTTGGACTTATTCTATCGAACAGTTTTGGGAATTCTTTGAAATTCTCAACAACCACCATCCTTCTATCAAACTAACCGCAAACGTGAGTGACAAAAGCATAGACTTTCTCGATACCACAGTCTTTAAGGGAGATTCCATAGCAGAAACAAATAAACTGGATATTAAAGTGTATTTCAAAGATACTGATACTCATCAACTCTTGCACAAGAGCTCCTTTCACCTAAAACATACCTTTTCTGGTATAATTAAGTCACAAGTTTTACGATTTCATCGAATTTGTACAAATCTTCTGATTTCAACCAAGCCTGTACGATTGTTTTCTCAAAACTGAAAGAGCGTGGGTACTCAAAAACGATTTTTACGAAACATAAAAAATTCCACCTTAGCACAGATAGCAGCTAAAAACAGACTTTATGCCGAAGTACCTCCAGGTTTAAGAAGTGCTCCATGTTTGTCCAGTAGATGCAAAACATGTCCCTTTATATCAGAAACTCATTATTTTGTAAGCAACTCTACGAATAAAAGGTACCCGATCCAGGAACATCTAACATGTGAACATTCGAATGTAATATATTTAATTTCATGCAAGAAATGCCCCAAACAATATGTAGGAGAAACTAAGAATAATTTACGAACTCGCTTTAATGCTCATAGGTCAGACATCAAATTAAAGAAAGACAAGCCTGTTTCTAATCATTTCAACCTCGACGACCATTCAATAGACGATCTCACCCTAATCCCAATTGAGCGTATAGAAATTGACTTGCCCGAAGATGAAACTACCAAATTCCGTCAATCTAGGGAGGCCCATTGGATTGAGACATTGAATACAGCAAGACCTATAGGACTAAATATTCATCATAATGTAGGCATAGCACCCTTTGTTGTCCCGTTTAACACAACCAGCAATCGAGCAAGCAAGATAGTTCATGCCCACTATAAGAGCCTTCAAGAGAAATTCCCCCATGTCTATAAGCAGAAAATGATAGTTGCATATTCAAAAAATAAGAACTTAAATGATAATATTGTTCATAGTAAACTAAAAACAATCCGTACATAACAGATACTATACATCTCGCCCATCGGGCGAGTTATTTTTTCTAATTTCAGATCAGAATAAGAACAGAAGAAAACCCAATATCAAGACCCTTAATCCTAATTTCTAAATAAAGTGTCTGCTCCACCCTAGGCCTGTACATTTGGGAGAATCAAACCCTCCCTTCCCCGAAACCTGATAATCTTTGAATTTTCCTCCTTATTGCTGTTTGCCCAGCTGTTAATCTGGGAAAGATCAATGCCAAAATTCATCAAAATCACATCACAATTTTAGTGTATGTTGCAAATGTAGACAGATGGTGAATAAGTTTGAACAATCCATAACGTGTGTGATAAATCTCTCCCACTTTTAAATACAAAACAAACATACTACTGATGATGACAATTTCAAAATAACCGGCGAAAATATTATTCATTTTAATAAATGAATCCACATAACCGCACTGTAACCGCTCAGGGCCCACCGTTCATTGCTTACAAGATTCGGGTTTTTCTTCATGAATAACTATGCACTGGACTCACCACCGAAAACATCAGAGGAATGGGCTACTTACCGGAACCACCAGCCTCTCCCGTGTAATACTGCTCTACAGTCTTTAACCACCCTACATCATCGTGACTGTGAGGTATCAAGTGTACATTCAACATTCCCTCTTTTACAGGATTGCATTTCTGAAACAATTTAAAGTGCTTTATATTTCTTTTGTTTATCTTAAATCAATTTATAAATAGGTATTCTTAACATATTAATAAGTCAATAGAACATAATAGGTCATCATAACCTTAAAAATGAAATGAAATGAATGGAGGTTTACGTCCTACTTTTCTGCACTATGTAGGGTGCAATGAGGGAAATTTTGCCAGGACGGGGGCATACGGCCTGCTCTCTTTCAATTTCCAACTATCGAGTTATCTTTAACGTGCACAGCCTGTAACACACGGGGCCTCGGTTTATTGTCCCACCCTAACGACTACTCTTTTTCAATCACTGACAGAGGCGAAACCTGGTTAAAAAATTTCGACCTATGCCGGGATTGCATCCAGGACATTCAGGTTAGCATGCAAGCGTCTAACCCACTGAGCCACCGTGGCTCACTCATCATAACATAATAGGTCAACATAACGTAATAGGTTTTCATGACATAATAGGTTATCATGACATCATAGGTTTTTAACAAAATATTTCTGTATAACAAAATAGGAGATATCGAAAAGAGATGCCGTAATCTGAATAAAAACATGGAACATGCCATTTCTATTTACACAATTCCTTTTTGTTTTTGCACGACCTTACCATAAATACTTATATATACTTACATTAAAATCACAAGAGCCGTCTTCTAAAATTTGTTTACGCTGCATTTGTTTCATGACAAAAACAGTTTTCTGATTACGTCGAGGTTTATTGCTGTTCCATAAGTATATAGCTATCTGTACCAGGACAATTGCACCGATAGCAAGAATTAATTTTTGCAAGGAAAATCTCATGTTGAGTTTGATTAGTTGAAATCGTTGTGTGGTTATTATGCAGAAGTATAACAAATGCAGTTCTGTAAACTACACCATCCTTCCAGTCTTTATTTCGGAAACATCTACAAGACAATAAAATCAATTGTATAATTTCTACAAATAGAAATACTAAAACAAACATTTTAAGTTTATAAGTTTTTATGTGGAGTCGTTTGTATAAATATATAATGATCATTTTTGTGGTGTGCAAAAATGAATTCTTGGTGATTTCCTTATAGAAAGTTTACTGTTATCAAGACGAAACCCCTTTCTACAAAGTCAAGCTATTACTGACTTCGTACCTGACTGCAATAACCACCTTTCTTATATCACGGAATTCAAAGATTTGCTTGGATTGAAAGTTAGAGAATACAGACAGACATTGTTTACGTACAATTCAAGCAAATCTTAAGCGTACTCTATATAAATTACAGGTGAAAGAAAAATCTTTGAAGAATTGTCACAATAAAGAGTTGAAAACATATGGGACAAATGCTACACTACTCAAAGTTGTTTCTTTTGTTTTTTAGTTATTATTCAACATAATAATTTGAAGATATTTTAAGAATTCATAGTCACGTACACACATTCAGACAAGCTTGATGAGAATTAAAAAGGAGTTTTACGCCCTACCTTTCCAATTAAGATGAATAACGACATACAGTGTATATGAAGTGTACTATGTGTATTCATTTTAAAGTCAAGTCTAAATCAAATACTTAAGTTGGGTGAAGAAACCGTTGATCTCAATAATTACAAATGAGAGTGTGTTATTGACAATGGTATGTTTAAAGAAAAGCAAAAACATAATTTGATTAAATAAAACGTAAGGGAGAAATCTAATTCAGTTGGTACATGCAACTATACAAATAAATGAACGTCACGTCATAGTGCTTCGAAAATAAGATCGTATAAAGCTTACTTCACGAAAAACATAACAGAACGGTGCCTATGACTAGGCCTATTTACCAATTAGGCTAACAACAGAAAGTCGAAAATGCAGTCGCCGACATAATCTCTACTCACAAGTAAAATTAAAAAAAAAACTTTAATTCACTGGCAACATGTGCTAAACATTTGCATGTTGAAAAAGAACAAGATATATTTATTGTTTCTTTTCGTCATATATAATAAAACATTCCAACTTTTTATTGCAGCCTGCATCAGAAAAACGTGCTTTTCGGCTTTTTTGGGCTGTTCGGTCTTCCATATTAAGGTAAGGAATTTGATATTGTATAGGCTGTTACTGATAATCGCATGAATTTGTAATCAATGTTCTCGAACGGATTTTTTTTACAAAGCTGCACTATATGCGAATATAGAACTTGTTTCTTCAATCACTAATCGATTATAAACGGGCGTAACAACATAAGATAACAAATAAAGATGCTTATCCAAACATTATGAAAATGCAGTCGCCGACATAATCTCTACTCATAAGTAAAATTTAAAAAAAAAATAACATGGCGTGCTTACTTTAATTCACTGGCAACATGTGCTAAACATTTGCATGTTGAAAAATAACAAGATATTTGTTTCTTTTCGTCATATATAATAAAACATTCCAACTTTTTATTGCAGCCTGCATCAGAAAAACGTGCTTTTCAATTCGCGGTATCAAGTCTCAAATGACCTTGCGGGATGGCGGAGGCGGTAATCCTTCGGTGGAAGATTCAAGACACTGATAACAGAAGTATTTTGTTGTACAATAAACCGTAAAATACTTTAACAATGACACCATTCCGTACATTCTATAGCTCGGGATTTAAGGCGAAAGATCTAATGCCTTTGGCCTGACAAAAGTTTTCTCATTGTACACTGCATAGCGTTGTCCGTCTTCATTAACCGAATAAGGTGTAAAAGAGTAGGACGTAAAACTCCATTTATTTCTTTTCAAAAGATGGCTTGTACGCAGTTACAATATAGTTAGTATCAATATCCGGAAGACTTGAAGACGTTGCTTCAGTTTGTTCCAATCTGCTGGTTGAGTGCGTGTCTGGTAGCGGTGGTCGATTGGCCCCAAATTGTGTACCGGAAGTATAGTTTTTAGTCCGTAAGTCAAGTCAGTGAATATCCATTTACAATATCCATTTACCTGTAAATATCAAGAGATTTTTCACAAAGAACCTCACTTGATCACACTGATTCGATACTTTTAATTCTTAAACGCCATCTGTTGTGATATTATGGGATACCAACATTGATTAAACATACACTTTTTTTTACAAACTTATCGATAAATAACATTCATCTTGTTACTAATGTAATACTATGCATGCATTTTGAAACATAGATATTAGTTTCTTATTCCACTAATCTCTGCTATCTGTGACTTTACTTCCGTCAAGTACAGAATTTGCTTATTGAAATCCATAAACATTTTTCGCTAAAAATTGCACCAATAGAGGGAAATTTCATAAAAAGTTTTAGTAAAAAGAAAATGTGGTAAAATTATGATTTTGTGAAACAAATGCCAAAAATGACTAACGAATGAAGGACTAAGAAGTAAGGGTTAAGACGTCTTAATATTGGGCTGTTCGGTCTTCCATATTAAGGTAAGGAATTTAATATTGTATAGGCTGTTACTGATAATCGCATGAATTTGTAATCAATGTTCTCAAACGGATTTTTTTTTACAAAGCTGCACAATATGCGAATATAGAACTTGTTTCTTCAATCACTAATCGATTATAAACGGGCGTAACAACATAAGATAACAAATAAAGATGCTTATCCAAACATTATGAAAATCGATTATTTTAATACAAGTTAAAGAGACTGTCTGATTATTAAGGGCCTGTCTTTTTTTGTGAAAAAAACGACGGGGGAAGTTATGCCAATACTGTATACCAAAATCTAGAGAAACATATGATTCTTACCATATCAGCAAGTCTTAAAGGAATAAGGTGTCCATTTTCGGGGATTGATTTGGGTGTGGAATACATATAATATACATTGTCTTAAGAAGTACCGGTATTAATTATGTACGAAAACTTACAATCCTTCTATTTTGTACTTTTCTCATCTATTATTTATGTTAATCAACTATCCGGTATGTAGATTATGGTCGAGTTTACGTGGATATTATATTGTAATCAATACAAGCATTCTATATACGAATATTGGTTTGACAATGTAAAAGTCGCTCGGATACATTTAATTCGGGTAGTTATTACGACCTATTTCGAAGTCTCCTTGTACTAAATGCTGGTCAGTGTGCATCGCTGTGGTCCTTGCAAATATTTCTTGAATTGGATTTCATACATTCTTCCGAAGATACCAAATCATATATATTTGAACAGTAACAAATCGTATAGCATTTCGGATGGTCTGTGTTTTTGTGTTCTTTAAAGTGAATAACGTATATGGCTGGTTAGGAATTAAATATCTGAATTCCAATTTTTGTTACAATATTTGTTTTTGTGTCATTCAGTTAGAACAGACAATGAATCAGTTATGCTGAATATTCAACAAGTAGTTGTTAATAATTGCTAATCATTTATAACTATTAGTGAAGTAATGATGTAAAGGCTAATATGAACACATTGGGGAATATTAATAATTGTTTTCCAATGGCTGATAATATTTCATTTTCCTGTTGAGTTTTCCTGGCTATTGAGTTGGGAGTTACATAATGGTTCATCGGTTACTCATTACAAACCGGTAAACCATCCGTTGGTGACCGCTGTCTATAGCGGTGATGTACTTGTGGGGGAAATTCTTGGTGATGATGACCCCTGTCTTGTGTGCACTTTTGTTCTTGTTTTGGGCCTACACAAATAGTTAATGCTTTCAGAAAATATGCTGACATCTTTTAACACTCGCCAGAGCTAATTATTTTCTATATCACCCTAATGTCTGTACATTAGAAAGAAAATAGAACACCACCTTTCCCGAAATATAAAGTTCGACAGACTTAACCTGTAAACATTTTGTTACCGTGTGGCCTAATGATTATTTGCATATCAGGGTCGATTCTTTCTGAATTTGAACGTTTGTAGATTCGAATAACGAATAAAACCTAAATACGCTACTGGATACAGGTAATGACAATAATAGCTCCACACTGTTTGTGTAAATATGTAAAATATTTTGATTAAGTTTTGCAATTAATGTATGACTACAAACCACATTATTATATTATCACATTAGTTCATGTGAAGTTGACGGACACAAAAACTAAGTTTCATGTCTCAAGAGTCATTGTTAATAGAATAATATTGACTGTTGATATAATTGATATCTCAGTCAATGACTAACATGGTTTGAGAGCACATTGTGAATCATGATTTTGAAACTGATCAGGGAACAATTTCATTGTCATTTATTGAGAAATTAAACTTGTTTGAAATTAAATGTGGATTCATTCCCTGTCTTTAGTAAATAGAGCCAAATCATGTAAATAAAACAGTTTTGATTTCTGTTGTATATTGGAATACCGTACGAAGGTCACATAATACGTACAATATTTCACACTCTCTTCATAATCTTGATAATTAGATTTCTAAAGTCATTAAAGTCGCTGTCTCCTCATTGCACACTGCAACTTGTTGCCGTCTTCATTAGTCCAAATTGGGGTACATAAATGTTAATTCGTTTCATGAGATGTACATGGAAAGTGCATTTTCGTTCAAGTCACCGAGTTCCTTACTCAAGTGGTTAGAGTTCCTTACTCAAATGGTGAGAGTTCCTTACTCAAATGGTTAGATTTCCTTACTCAAATGGTTAGAGTTCCTTACTCAAATGGTTAGAGTTCCTTACTCAAATGGTGAGAATTCCTTACTCAAATGGTTAGAATTCCTTACTCAAATGGTGAGATTTCCTTACTCAAATGGTTAGATTTCCTTACTCAAATGGTTAGATTTCCTTACTCAAATGGTGAGAGTTCCTTACTCAAATGGTTAGATTTCCTTACTCAAATGGTTAGAGTTCCTTACTCAAGTGGTTAGAGTTCCTTACTCAAATGGTTAGATTTCCTTACTTAAATGGTGAGAGTTCCTTACTCAAATGGTTAGATTTCCTTACTTAAATGGTGAGAGTTCCTTACTCAAATTGTTAGATTTTCTTACTCAAATGGTTAGAGTTCCCTACTCAAGTCACCGAGTCTTAGTTTCTCCTACATATTGTTTGGGGCATTTCTTTGCATGAAATTAAATATATTACATTCGAATGTTCACATGTTAGATGTTCCTGGATCGGGTACCTTTTATTCGTAGAGTTGTTTACAAAATAATCAGTTTCTGATATAAAGGGACATGTTTTGCATCTACTGGACAAACATGGAGCACTTCTTAAACCTGGAGGCATAAAGTCTGTTTTAGCTGCTATCTGTGCTAAGGTGGAATTTTTTATGTTTCGTAAAAATCGTTTAGAGTACCCACGCTCATTCGGTTTTGAGAAAACAATCGTACAGGCTTGGTTGAAATCAGAAGATCTTGTACAAATTCGATGAAATCGTAAAACTTGTGACCTAATTATACCAGAAAAGGTATGTTTTGGGTGAAAGGAGCTCTTGTGCAAGAGTTGATGAGTATCAGTTTCTTTGAAATACACTTTAATATCCAGTTAATTTGTTTCTGCTATGGAATCTCCCTTAAAGACTGTGGTATCGAGAAAGTCTATGCTTTTGTCACTCACGTTTGTGGTTAGTTTGATAGAAGGATGGTGGTTGTTGAGAATTTCAAAGAATTCCCAGTTCTATTCTATAGAATAAGTCCAAACCATAAAAATGTCATCCAAAAAGCGTCCGTAAAAAAGTGGGTCAAATGAACAGAGGGGCAACACCTCACGTTCCCACTCTGCCATGAAAAGGTTTGCGTACGAAGGGGCGAATCGTTTGCCCATTGCTGTCCCTGAAGTTTGTAAATATGTTTTACCATTAAATGTGAAATCGAATTCCTTACTCAAGTGGTTAGAGTTCCCTACTCAAGTCACCGAGTTAGAGTTCCTTACTCAAATGGTTAGAGTTTCTTACTCAAGTGGTTAGGGTTCCTTACTCAAATGGCTGATTGGCCTCAAATATTATTTCCCCCATTATATAAGATATGAAATTTGTACCAAAATATGGTATGACGACCTTGTTCAAAGCATAGTAAAGCTTATCAGTATATAAAAGATAGCTTTGATTGCAAGTACAAATCATTGTTTGTGGCCTGTTGAGTAGAGAGTAACCTCTCGACAATTGGGCGAGTTAGCATTTTATTTTATTCAAGATCAAATGAAACATTATGCAGATTAGCAGAAGAAAACCAACAATGAGCCGTTTTGGACCATCTCTTCCAATTTCTCAATGAAGTATTTGTTCCCTCCCAGGATTAATGCTTGTGTTATCGTGCCCTCTGAAGATGGTATTGAATGCGTGATATCAAAAGTGGTCCAAAATGACTGCATCTGAACGCATTGTCTCAGAAAGTTCACCCTGATGATGAAAAATGCTGTCTCTTATGATCAATATGAACGTATTTTTCTTATCCACAGGCATTAACTCGAAACCCTTTGTCTAGAAAACAGGAAATTCACCTGTATCATGAACACAAACCAATTTATACGTATCGAGACTATGTAAAGGTCAATTCATTTACTCAAGTGTCGTTCATCGGGATTTAAGAGTATCGAATTCGTCCCAGATATCACAATATAAGTTACAAAAGCATGTCATATCAATCAAAATAGGATCAAAACAAAACTGTAGCTTTTATTCCGTAGGTGAACAAACGGTCGGTACAGCGGTCAGGCAGGACCTACAAGCATATAATGCATGTGTATAAAACTACACAACGACTTATTAGTCCAAAGCACAAACAAAGTTACACAGACGACAAATGTACGATTTTACCAAATTTATGACACAAATATGTGAGAAAAGGCAGGCACCATGGAGCGTAAGTTCGCCATTTTCGGGGGCCGATTTGGGTCTTGAATATATAATATAGCAGAATTCTTTCAAAACCCCTTTTTTATATAAGGCAGTCTCGTCGTTTAACTTTCAAACGCAGATAATTCTGGACACACATTTGTTTTAGGGCTCAAATTTTGACGGTGAATTGTGAACACTATTATTGATTAGCTGAGCTAATTGAATTCCCGTTTCTGAGACTACGGTACCATTGTTCAAACAAATGGCGAATCTGTCCCTGTAAGTAATATCGTATACTTGTATTTTCACAGTATTAACTATGTATGTATATATATTAAGTTGGCCTTAATTTAACTTAATTTGCGATGTTTATCATGTTATATTGACATAGGCCTGTTGCAATAAAACAAGGATAAAGATATATATATATTACAAACATTGTGTATCATATATATTTTTAAACTCTTATCAGATAAATACATCATAAGTACATGCCTGTAGGATAAATATCATTGTATTCTAATATATAATATTCGAGTTTTTCCTTCCATAATAATTTAACAAATAATGGCAATATAACTTTTTGTGAAGGTCAATATTTCAAGGTAATATAATCCATCGTAAAAAGTCGCCTGAGGCGGTTTAACGGTTTAGAAAAATGTCAAAGGTCAAATATAGTTCGTCACCATGTACTTAAAATATCATTTTTAAATGTACTATAGCATATCATGTGAAGGTTTTAACACAGATAATGTGGGTCGCAAGTGATTAGCTGCATTATCGAAAGATTAAATAATGCTTTGCACATGTCCTGGTCAGGATTATGTATCCGAAATATGTGTCGAAAGAAATTACAGAATCCCACTTTGCTAATACGTCTCCTTACACCCTATTTCCCTAATTAGCTGTCAAACTAAAAACAATTTCTTAGAGGGAGGTAGGGGTGCACTAGTTTCACATTAATAGGAACCTATAAAAGCTAAACCTCTTCATTAATTTCTGTATTTAGTATGTGAAGTATGTGGAATTACTGTTAACTTTCTTTTTTTTTAAAGTTTAGGAAAGGGAATAATCATTGTCCTGTGAACACTAGTTGCTTCTACACTTTTTAAAGATTTCAAGATTTTCACGATTTATCACTCCAATTTTATATATAATATAGATAAATAATAATATGCACATAGACTTCCACTTTAAAGTATATTGGGCCAATATACTACATTAAAACCTGACATCCAAATGATCATTAAAGTGCATTGCCAGTCGACAAATGAAATGAAATAAAACGTCCTACTTTTCTGCACCATGTGACAAGACACTTCTTTTGTTAATACATGTATGTATATTACACTTGACATATCGTCAATGAACATAGTACATTAATAAATATATTAGTCCAGCAATGATATCTGTGCATACACAGGCCCGATTCTATACAAGCAAAATTTTTAGGCAGAATAAAATGATCTTGAAACTATATCAGCCACACTCAAAGATGGGTTTCCTTATATTGTTAGTGTCAAATTAAGCAAACTATTGGATTAATTATTGTTTTTAATGAATTATCATATATTCTTAATCATATCATTATGTTCTTATTGCATATAATTAAGAGTTTCAATTAATCATAAATGTCCATGTCTGGATAAACAAAAAGAAACTTTTTGACCTTTCTTGATCGGTCACTCATTGGAATTCTGTTGGCATTTCTTTTCTAATTTAGCCAATTAAAAATTAATTATGGACATGTGAGACAAACTGGTATTTTTCCAAGTCATTAGAACACTTTCTACTTTCTATTCATATAAGTATTAGCATTTTCATTTTCATAAATGAAACTAAGGGAACCCATCTTTAAATTGTGATCAATAATACCTAAACTACCACCAACTAAAGTGGACTGCTTCGAACTGAAGTGTGTACAAGTATAGTTCCTCCTGATGTTGACTTTGTGCATAAAATCTCTCATCATTATGCCCTGATATTGAAAAACAAATTATAAGACGGCACGATAGTGATCATAGATGTGCTAAATGTTTTGATTTATTTTGTTAAAACAGCATCTTGAAGTGTTAGATATAATTTTTGCTTTACAATATAAAGAAAGTCATTAGGAGGATAAGGTAATATATGATTCTTGCGTAAAGGTTTGAGTTCTGCTCATTGCGCTCAACATCTTTGGTTACCAGACATGATTTTATTTTGCATACGATGATCCGACTATCTCCACTTTAAAATGGTGTACAAAGCCCCTTTCTCATTCGATCGCAATGTAAAGCGACCGTTTTGTCGCTGAGGAATTCTATCACCATCGAGGCCATCGTAGGAAATGGGCATTAAAATACAAAAGCTACCGTAGACAGACGAACAGATTGCGATCGTCAAGTGATCAGTTGCATACAGTCATACTCTCACACAACGATAGTGCAGCATTGTGATCAATAGAGGACCAGTTTCTGTTTTCTTGCGTCCACGCCAAACACTGGTGTGTATTAGTTGTTCCATACGTGCCAGTTTTATATGGTCACCAGACAGCTACATCTTGGTCTTACAATATCAGAAACCGATGCTCGTAAAACATCATAATGACTTGTTGTAAGCCTACGATGTTTGGCAAGCGAGGGTAGTAATTCAAATATGAATTTTTGGGTTTTTGACTCATTCTAGAAAGCCTGCGAGTGTTTGCATGCATCTTTTAACATCTACTACAGACTCAAATGCACCACACCCAAAATATCACAGAGCACAGTAACACAGAATTGTAAATGAATTATGTTAATATGTCAGAAATTATAGCTAATCAACTATCATATTAGTATTATTATAATTGCACTCTGATATTTCGACAATGGGTTTTATAAATGTCAACTTCTAAGCCTCCTTAATTCTCTATTGCAATATTCATGTTAACAACGATGACAGGTCTTGATACTGTTGAAATGAAATAAACCACTGTATAACTTTTCGCTCTGTTAAGCGACCTCTCAACCAGGCAATATAGGTCACACACATTGGTTACACACAAAAAATTGGTCTGTGCAAATAATATGACCAAACGAAATGGGTCTCATGAAAATTCATCAAAAGCAAGTAAAATGGTAACAGGAAATTTAATCATAGTACTTTTGTTACAATAGATTTGCTGTGATAATTTACTTATTGTGAACAATTTCAAAAATTGTAACCGATTTTAAGTGTGACAAATTTACTGTGACCATCTTTTCTTTGACCTACAGTTGGAATCATGTCTAATGCGATGATGGTTGATATTATATTCAGTGCATAAACTAAACAATTGCCGTGTAAGAATCTTTCATTACAAGCCTTGTGACAACAGTCAAAATCACCTGTCCAATTTAATAACATTGCACAGTTGAAATATTCGTCAATGCAAATACGACTGAAGACACTAAAAAAATCGATTGTGTATTAATATTAATAATATTGGTATTAGAATGTAAGCTGTTATTACTGCTATGTTGTTATCAAATTATAGACGAACTTTTAGTCTGAAAAGTAATATAGATAACTAAAATGAGTTGAATTCTCAAAGCATTCCGCTTTTTTTTTGCAAGTCTAAATTTTTTTTTTACACTAATTGGTAAACACTATACACCGAAATCTACAGGAATGCGCCCTTTAACGCAGTCCAGGTCCAGTTGGCGATATTGTCTCTTCTTGGAGCGTTGCTTACCACCACCTGACTGATGGTAACTTCTGTCATGGATTGTTCAGCTTTAACTATGGTGATAAAATTGAAGATGTAAGGATGGTTGTTGGTCAACTTGTTCATCTTGCGTGCCATTCCTCAACATGATTAGTGGTGCGTGGAAAATGGTTCCACATACTTCTTTCTTCACCCTCAACCCACTGCTCAGTAATATAATCCGCAAACTTCAAAATTGAAGGGCCATTCAAGGGCATTGAACCAGTAATCGTCGATGTCTGGTGATCTTAGTAGTGGTAGGGCAGAAGCTCTCCTCACGAACAAGTTCACTTCTGAATTGTTTGCAAAGGCAAATAAATACCACACTTAATGATGGGTTTCTTTATTTTTCAGTGTGAAATTAAGCAAACTATTTGATTTATTGGTGTTTCTAATGAATTATCATGTATTCTTAATCATGCCATTATGTTCTTATTACACATAATTGAGAGTTTTAACCAAACAGAACAGACCTTTCTTGATCAGTCACTCATTGGAATTCTGCTGGTAATTCTCTTCTAATGTGGCTAATTATGAATTAATTATGGACATGTGAGATAAACTGGTATTTTCCCCACTTCATTAGAACACGTCTTCTTCTATTCATATAAGTATTTTAAGAACATTCCGCCAAACTGCTTGTCGGTAGTGAAAGAGACACCCTTTCAGTTCACAGTCAAAATTAGAACTTACTTCAAATTTATTCCCGGTAGATGGATGCAATTGTTCTGCAATCTACTCTAGCCACATCTTTTTTACCTTTACAAGGAATTCCTCAAGAATAATGTTAGAATGTGCAACTATAGGGTATCTCGGTAAGTTGTTATTATTCCGCTGGATGTGTTTATGGTTGCAGGGCAGGTGCAAATTCTCTCCTCTCCTACACTTTATGCTGAATTTATTACCCTGGTAGCAGATGTTCTGACCACCACGTCTGTTAATGGAGTAAATCGTACTTTCACTTGTATATTAGCCACGATGCAAGGAAGTAATGATAAAATAAGGGTATATCTATCGTTATAAATTAGTTTGATCAAGAAGATACATAGATATATAGCATACTTTAGAAATATTTTCAGGTATAATTTACGACGTTTTTGATAACGAAAACTTTTTACAAAAAAAAAGCGGAATACCTCTTTAACAATTGTTTAGAACACAACAAATAGTGTAATACTCACTTGAATAACAATCAATATAAACAGATAAAATATCATAAAACCAAAATTAATACCAACTCGTCAGACTAAGCTATAGTAAAAACTTCCTCATACCAATTTGTATTACTATATCACACTTGTTTATATGTTTCCTGTTAAACGACAATGTACTTTTCCACATGTTTATTAAAGGGACAGTTTCGCTAATTTGGGTCTTGAATTAATCTAAATAGTCTCTAGAAGTACTAGAAATGTACGAAAACCGTTTAAATTCTTCAAAAATACCAAACTGGGCATATCACATTTATTTTTATCTAATTTCCAATGTAGTAAAGCCGAGTTGTTTTTATTTTTTACTTCCAAATGCAGATAATTTACGTCAAATTTTTAGTACGCACCGCTTTACGAAAGTGATGCTTAACATTTACTTTCAAACGCATAAAATGAAAGCTGTGGTAATGTTATCGTAGTAGGTGAATCATGCTAAACTTAACAGAAAATGGAGAATTATTTAGACCACTGAAGCTGTTTAATAGGCCTTCACCAACATGCAGTTATTCACAGAACTATTAAAGATCGCTCTAGTTCACTGCAATGTTTAGAAATACCAAATTAATTGATGGATAGGTATTGATTTTAAAAGGCAGGTGTCGTGGGAAGATACACCAACACTGTGATAAAACTTTTCATATTCCATCAGTGTTGCATATTTTTATAACTACACTGGTAGACTATGCAACTGTGTCATTTCAGTTATTTCAGTTACTGGATATATTAATGAACATTCACCAGCTATTCAGAAGAACTATCAAATTATATATATGGCTACGGGCCATTTTAAAACATTTGCCTATCGAGACGAAATTCAACGAAATTCAACGTGGATTTAACGATTTGGCGTATAAGAACCATACACAGGTTGTACCAACATATCAACACAATGCCCAAATGCGGAACAAGCAAAAACTGCATAAGTTGGCATCTCTGACTAACATCGTCCTACTTCATCTCCCGTTTTCCTTTTAGATTTTACAAGGGCAACTGTTCATCTTAGGATTGTTCCAACATTTTTTTTCATATATTAGAATGGCGGTTGTTAAAGATGGATTTCCTTCTTTACAATTATGAACATGAAAATGCTAATACTTATATGAATAGAAAGTAGAGGTTTTGAAATGACTTGGAAAAATAGCAGTTTGTCTCACATGTCCATAATCAATTCATAATTAGCTGAATTGGAAGAGAGAATTCCAATCAGTGAACGATCAAGAGAGGTCAACAAGTATTTTCTTTATCCAGACTGTACATACACGGAAGCTTATTTGTGATTAAAACTCTTAATTATATGTAATAAGAACATAATGATATGATTGAGAATACATGATAATACATAAAAAACACCAATTAATCAAATAGTTTGCTTCACTTGATACTTAAATGTAAGGAAACCCATCTTTAAAGCCTGTCTTTGCAAATACCTTTGATAAAACAATCAATCAAGAATCCAGAAAGGGGCCATAGAAAGAAATCGGTTGAAAACATCTGATTTTACGGTGTCCAGGATGACTATTGACAATCTTGCACTTGAGTTTTACGGTAGGCATTGGTTTGTGTGTTGTGTGTAATTTGTCCTCTGAACTATATTATAGCGCAATGACTGTGTGTTTCAGAAAATCTTTGGTGATTGAATGCAATCCAAAAGGCTCCGAAAAGTATCAATTACAACACCAGTCTACAATACTTTTGGTGCATAACCAATATTTTGTAAGTTCGGCCATAGACGAAAATGTACATACGAAACAAAGTTAAGATTAAGCAGACTGACAATTTCCACTGAGTATAACATTATTGTCGATTTCGCGTCAGCGCGGATTTCGACGACAAAGTCTTTTCAAAATAGAATATTTTTGTTCATATTTTCATAACTTTACTCAATAAGTGTTATATTCCTTGGTTTACCCGATGAAGACAAATATATTATTTTGTGATTTGACACCTCGGAAACTCAATATAATTAAATGTTTGCTTCCTCGGTCTTATATCTTAACTGCAATAGCCACTATTCTTGTATCACAGACGTTTTTAAATGCCGCGATTCGATTTGATTGTACGTTATAGCCAATCAGAGACCTCGACAGAAAGTATTTAAACATTCAGCCATGATGTTTACAGTCAGTCTGTCGATGGCTATGATTGGCTGTATTTGCTGGCGTACAATCCAATCAACTCGATGCATTTCATGATACAAGAAAGGTTGATTTTGTATTCAAGGCTTAAGACGAAGTTGGTAATACCTTGAGCATTGTGGAGAAACTTGGTTATTTGATTGCGAGTTTTCCAGCTCTCACCAATGACATAATTCAGTAATTTAGAAATATTGAAATATTAAAACAGAACAATTCAACATTTCTATATCGCTCTCCAATTGATGTATTGGGCACTATTTTAACTGTGAAAAGATTTTACTATTGTAATTCAAGAAACCTTACAAGGCCCACATTTAATTTCTTCAGTTGTCATAGTGTCAGGAACATTTTAGTTTCAATTACATCGACTACATCTTCAAATTGAATTTATAAAAACTAATATCCGAAACAACGGCATATAATTTTCATGTGATGCCCAGTCATATATTTTTTCTACCAAGCGACTATAATATTTTTGACAGTCACAACAGTTAGGTGTCTTCCCACATCGACCCTTTCCAAATCGCCCCTAAACTATTTCCTTTTCGCCCCTTCTCATTTCGCCCCTTCTCTTTCTATAATTAGACCACATAATAAATGAAGATTGTTTCGATTTGAATTCCGGTCCCGTGTACATGTTAGTACTGGAGCAGTAGGAATCTGATAAAGAGTAGACTGGAATGTCCAATTCCTTGGTAAGTGCATTGGAAAATGGGAAAGGGGCGAACTGGAAAAGAGGCGAAGTGGGAATAATGGGAAAAATGGGAAGGGGGCAAAACGGGACAGGGGCGAAATGAAAAAAGGGGCTTAATGGGAAAGGGGCGAAATAAAAAAAGGGGCTTAATGGGAAAGGGGCAAAATAAAAAAGGGACAAAATAAAAAAAGAGGCAAATCGGAAAGGGGCAAAATAAAAAAGGGACAAAATAAAAAATCGGAAAGGGACATAATGTGAAGTGGCAAAATGGGAATAAATTGGGGGCCAATTGGGAAGGGACGAAATTGGAAGGGGCGATATGGGAATAAACCCAACATTTATGGTCTTGTTACTAAAAAATGATAAAATTGTACTGTCCATTTCTGACCCATTGTAGTCTAGTAAGAGCCATTGTGTCCAAACCCGTCTCCATTCGACAAACTCAGTTGCGGCGCTAGCCTTCCGAGACTGGGGGTACAAATAAACTCAATAGCCGGACAACTGCTGAGACTGAATTCAAATATTGGCTACTCTGTGGTGTGTTATAGTCGCAAGCCTCTCATAGAGTGTCTTAGAGGGTTCTCTCAAGAAAATTTGACTTTGTAATCGCTTTAGCGGGTAACTTGACTTTGGTTATAACTATGGTCGTTATAGCGAACTTTTGGACAAATAAGCCAAATTTGTTTTTTACATCTTGGCTGATGTGTTAGGACAGGCATAAATTGATCTGATTGTTTCTCATGATGTTCACTTATACAGTATAGTGGCACTACTACTTTTATTCTCGATTTTATCGAAATAATCTTGCTTGTACCGTTTTTATATATTTTTTATATATTAAGAATATCATGCTCGTACAGAATGTAATACGTGAACCAGGTACATGTATTTAGTAATAATGTAATCAGTTTATGTACATAAAGTATTTTTAACGAGGTCATTTCATAGCTTTCTATAGATTAGTGTATGTTTTAATGTTAATGTCTACAATCATTAAGATAAATTATGATTCATCAATAATTCATTCAAGTAAAAGAATACCTTCAGGGTAGATGGTGACCTTTACAAACTGTAGCGACAAATAAAATCACTGATAGATAGACAATAGATGCAAACAAACCCTTTTTTGATCGGGTTGGATGAAGGGTGATTGTTAGATTGGTTGATAAAATATGGCGAGTAATTGGCCAGGGGTTTATGCCTGAAGACAACAACAAGAACATGCACCTCTATCGTGGAAACTAGGATTAATAATGCATAGTATATTTATAAACGAGTTTATAAGAAGTAAATGGAAGGGTGTTGAGTCTGCCATGAACGTCGAACAAATATATTACTCTTGTTTGTATTTTATAGTTTATAAGATAGATTGCCAATCAATGTAACTTACTCCTACGGTAATCCAATTAACTGAAACTCAAGTTTGATCTGTTTCAATGAAGTCAAGTGCGATCACTTAAAGATTGCAAAAATGATACAAATATCAAACTCCATGATTTCATTGATATACAGGAGCATACCAAACGAAACATCCTTAAAATCAGATCAACAAGATAATTTTTACGAGTTTTTGTGTTCGTAGAAATTGTACCAACATCCTACTCTATTGCATATTATCTTTCATCTAAAGCTATAACTAACAACACGATACTAAATTCTACCTAATTTTGGTTATCGTCAATATACACGTTCAACATGCATACCAAATTGCATTACAATCAGATAATACTGCAATCTTATATCTCTATACGATTAAGTACATTTAAAAAAAAGTTTATTCAAATCACACCGAATTGAACTTATGTTATAAATGTATATAGTCATATCAAGTTTCAAGTAAAATAGGATCGAAACTGCAGTTTATAACGCATCCACAAGAAATGTTGACGGATCGACATTCATACAGGCTTTATGGCAAGAAAAAGTCAGACAATTATATATATACGAT